TTAACAGTACCTCTATCAACCAAATATCAATGCCTCGTTGGCGTTACAAAAATTATTAATTAGCTAAAGTTATGTTGGTAAATATTCTTCAATGCATGCTTTAGTATTAGATGTGAGAGATACCATCTCAAGGGGCATTTTTGGTGCGTGAAGAAGTTTCCTTGCTTGCGAAATGCTTTGGTGAGTTTCCAAGGTAAGCTTTCATCTTTAAAGGAAAATCATAGGCCTTTCCCTGGCCATGAGGGTCCAGATATATACCACCAATAATAGAATGCAGACAACTTGTTAAGAGCCTGTCCACGAGAGCACCGGGCAGTCGTGCTACATGCCATCTCACCGATTTCAATGAAACTTTGCCAGTTTAAAGGTTCTACCTCAAAACTCAAAAAGACAAACCGGTTTCTGTTTTGGTTTTTTTGCCGCGGGAGATAAACCACCCCCCCGGTTTTTCTTGGTTTTCACCAAGGAAATCGCTTCAAAATAGGTAAAATGTATGAAGCTCTCACTGCGATCATCCAAATATTTGACAACTTTGAGGTCAAATATCTCCCCTTGTCAGAAAGCTACAACACTAATCTTGATTCCCCTTTATAATCCATTATTTCATCTCTGAAAATCATCAAAAAAATATTTGGGCGCTACCGTATTTTTGTCTTGGATGCCTTTTAAAATCTGCGACTGTGACAAGTTTCTCTCAACTACACCTGTCACGCAATTCTTGCTTTAGGCGGTCGCTTGACCAAATAAACCACATTTTTTGGCTCTTTATACAAGATGATTGATCAAGAAAAGTGAAAAATGTGAAAAACTTTCGAGATTTTTTGTAGGAATGGAAAATTTCACGTTTAGAGAGATGCATGTGGGCGAAAAATTGAAGAGAAAATCGTAGCGTTTCTTTCTCTTGTCGTTTATTACTTTGGAGATTTGCTAAAATCAAGAAATAGGGCTCTTTTTACAGAACAAAACATTCATTAGCCTATAATTTGATCGTCTATTATCATTATCGTACAAATAATAAGGAAACTGCAACAGGAGAGGAGATTTTAAAGTCATGTCGCGTGCTTGTTGACGTACAAGTTCCTGTGTGTAACAACTTCGGCTTTTCCATACCGCGGATGACGGGAAACTCTGCCCCCCTTATTTGATAGGAAATATCAATATCCCCATAAAATTCATTGTAACTGCGTCATGTTTCCAGAAAATGAGACTGGAAAATTTTTTTTCCACTTTCCACCATCAAGAAATTGCACGTAGAAGTAGTATTTGTAGCGTGACTGCGTGACCTTTCCTGAGAAGTAAAAATTGTTTATCTTTTTTTTTCAAGAAGACACTTCTAGAAAGTTCTTAATCCTTCTGCTATCTTATTTTCCTGTTTTTTGACTGCAAATATCATCTACATTTGCTATTATTTTCGCCGATTGTCATGGCCTTTCCTGCGTGCACGTGCGTGCCAGTTCATACTTCTTTCGAGTTTCTTGGGATGGTGTCGGGCTTAGGTGTGTAGGTCTGGCTCAAAAGATATCTGCACGCTGCAACACGGGTTCCTATGTTTGCTTCTTTTTCTTTATTTGTATTTTTATTCTCTGCCTTGCATTATCACACATTTATGTTTTTTTATTCCTTCAGCGCGTTCCCTCAGATTTGGAAGTAGGCTATGAAAAGTCAATGTTGACCAGAACTTATTAAAACTATTTTCTATCACTATTTGTTTCAGAGAACCCCTGTTATTTAAACTTTATTTCTCAAGAGAATGTGTTTTTATTTGCTATCTATTTCCATTAGAACATGAAACTAGGTCCTGATAAGTTTTTTTGTTTCGTGACTCCCAAAAACTGTGTTTGCGACAACATCAATTGAGAAATCAAAAGCAATTACGCCTGAGAAATTCGCTTTTAGCCTTCTACCCGCAGAAGGCAAATCCATGTAATGAAACGTTCTAAGACCTCTGTAAACTAGAGACATTACGTGATGTTGAGGGGTCAAATATTTACACTAAATCTGTGACCCTCAAACGGATCACGTATTCGTACATGTAACGTCCGGAAAATATCACGCATATATCACACCGTGGGCGCACCTAGCGAATTCTATCCACTGGCTTCAATAGTAAAGAGACAACTTATTTACTATTTGTATATGAGCAAGCTTATTTGCCCTACTTGAAAAAATCCTTGATGAAGTCTACTCTTGTCAGACGAAACGTGTGGGAGATAAATACAAGTTTTTACTTTCTCAGTTCGTGCGGTGATGCTCACTTTTTTGTTCCGTCAAAAACGCTTTTAATGTGAAGTCACGTCGACCTCGACAGAAAAATTTAGCTTACCCTGTCATAATCAATGGTTTGATACCGTAACTACCCATTTAGGTACATCATTGGGCTTTGATCACAATAATGAAAAAAATGTGCGTTTCCTCACGCACGCCACATTTATTCTTTGGAAAATTATTTTACTTGAGGGCGATGTCGCTTAGCTTGGCGCGTCTCTGACCGACGAAAATTATCGAGGTGAACCCCATGAAATTCTTGTCAAATGTTTTAAAAACTTTGTCTACCCTTGATTTGCACGCAGAAAAAATAGGCAAATTCCGAACGGTAGTTCAAAATACTTTATTTATTGGTCAATTTATGAACTGTTTTATAACAGCGCGAGGAAAAAGCAAAATTGAAACAACCGGCGTATCGGTCAAATGAATTCCAATTTTTTCAACAAGGAGTTTGTAATTTTTCCCAGTGAATTTAAGTGGGGTCAATTTTTTGTGACAGCCGAAGATAGACATCTCTGAAACGTCTCTGAAACTCTTAAAGAGTTTACACTTCCGGTAATATTTTCCTCCTTCTCGCAACAGCGCAACAGACATTGGTAATCCTATGTAGTGTAGGTGTATCAGTTGTATTACGTCTTCATAGTGATGCCATATAAGAAATCAAGTGTCTAAAAAGCCCTCAATTCAACCTAACACTCGAATTGATAGAGTCAAGATGGTGCAGTTGTCTTGCTCATTTGCAACTAACTGTAGAACCAAATGTTATTTTTCTCGCGCTGGCCAGGGACGGCAACAGCTCATACCTATAAATTCGTGGATGTACAGCTTAAAAAAAAAAATTGAGAGACGTCGATGTATCCCAAACATGCGTTTCGTCCGAGAAGAAGCTTATTCTAGCGCGTATTGGCTTATTTGGAGAGTTACGAAGACCGCGATTTCACGATATGCCTCAAATATCGTGCACAACTTAGTGTGAGATTCAGACCTTCGGGTTCGTAAATGCCAGTATCCTCCTCATAAAAATCGGAGACGTAAAGTTGAGAGAGAGGTGAATCTGAAGATGGCAGAAGAAATCAAAGCTGGTGGCGAGTCTTCCTGGTGGCAAGGTGACTGTAAACCTAATAGAACGCGTACTGTAACTGCTATCTTGGAGTCGGCAATGAATAAAGAAGAAGGGCAAGAAGAGCGCTTATCTGAACATCAGTTTTCCTAACTGGTGATTTGTGACTGAGATGAACTTTATATCATATGATTGCTAGAGATATATGCCTCAAATATCGTGCACAACTTAGTGTGAGATTCAGACCTTCGGGTTCGTAAATGCCAGTATCCAAGACATCCAAGACATCCAAGACAAAAATACGGTAGCGCCCAAAGATTTTTTTGATGATTTTCAGAGATGAAATGATGGGTTATAAAGGGGAATCAAGATTAGTGTTATAGCTTTCTGGCAAGGGGAGATATTTGACCTCAAAGTTGTCAAATATTTGGATGACTCGAAAAGTCTAAAAACACAGTCGTTTCTTTGCCTCTGTTGATTGACAAGCCGTCAATCAAATTGACTGATACTTGTGGCGAACATTAACTAAGGATGGAAAAATATGTGTGCAAATCCTCAGAGTAATTGGTTAAATACCATCGCAGTGAGAGCTTCATACATTTTACCTATTTTGAAGCGATTTCCTTGGTGAAAACCAAGAAAAAACGGGGGGGGTGGTCTGATCTTTAGAGCTACACGAGCAACACGAGCAAGCAAGGGGAGAATGGACCATCACCACCACTCACAGGGAAGTCATCGTGTCCTTAATGCTTAGGAGTTGCAGAATACATCATTCGCATACCAAAGAGAGATGTTGACCGTCCAATTTGTTTTTAATAAAATAATGTTTCCACGTAATATTTATCACATTTATTTCAAAGATGACATTACTCATCTTGCACGATGACACTTCTTTTTTCATGAAAATCACTGACTGAGGTGCCTGTGAACCCCTATTTGTATGCCTTTGAGCAAACGACCTACAACATTCAGGTGGTGAAAACTGCGGTGAGTACCCTTTGTTTGACAAAGTGTGACCCCCCTTTGAAAAATCCTGGCTAAGCCCCTGCAAACTATACATTGTTTATGGAATCACGTTTCTCTTTGACACCTTTTTGTTGTCCTTGAAAGTGGGAACTGTGACAGACGCAATCTTTATTTCCGGTGTGCCCAGTTCTCCAGACGGAAGAAAAACTCAGTTTTGCGGTAACCTTCTTTCTTCAAGACATTTCAAAAACTTGAAAATAGACTAAACCACGGATCAAACTTAAAAATAATCAATCTTAGAGAGCAAAAAGTCATAACTCTGAAAATTTTCTCTTGTGAAAAAAAAATTAAAAATCCGCTGACCATGCTGGCAGTGAAACTTCTAAAAAGAGCAAAAATTATACTCGTTTTTCCAAATTATGCCGAAAATTATACTAGGACAGTCCATAAGGCCTGGGGTAGAGAGAGAGAGAGAGAGGTAGCTTATTTGTAGCACGCTGTTTCAAACACAGACGGTTACATTAGCTCTCCTCTCAGGATGAGGAGGTTCTTTTCTTAGTCTATTAAGGACACATTGCAAAAAAAATATTAAAAAAGTAGTAAATGAAAAAAAAAAAAAAAAGATAAAATTGTCGATGACCATCTAGGCTCATGTAGACGAGGAAGACTGGTACAGATCTTCGAGCCCAGCTCCCACCCTATTGCCAGCCAGCCATTTTGTCAACTTCTTCTCTCGTTGCTTGCAATCCTCGTGTTATCTTCTTTTCGTCAGTTGATTTGTCACTCGACCCTTCGTTATGTCAAAATTTGGCGACAGCGAAGCGGAGGAAGACTCCTTAGATGAAAGTTTGTCAGAGAAAAGTGACGACGATGAAGATGAAGACGAAGAAGAAGGAGAAGAAGAGGAACAGGCAGATGATGAGAACGACATCATAAACGATGAAGTTGAAGAAAGCGCTGGAGAAGAAGAGCAGGGTCATCACGGACACCATCATAGGAAACGAAGGAAAGGTAGAAAAGCAAATTAAATTAACGAATAAGAATTCGTCAGCTTTCTTTTAAAGGAAGGTTTTCGGCGTATTCGAAGTTTCTCTTCATGTTTTCTAGCAGATGAGGCAGAGGAGCTCGATGAGGAAGATTTGTCTTTGATCGAGGAGAATCTTGGCATCAGTATTAAGCGGGTAAGAATACCACAGCTTAGTTTTTTAACCATCTCTCTCCTGAGAAGTGAAAAATTCAATTAATTAATTTACCTGTTCAATAGCTAAACACTGTAAGCTTCCTTTATTTGTTTGTCATCCGACGATCATTGATTCGATGAAAATAATCAATTTTGTGTTCGATTTAATCACTTCTCTTTTGACCTTTTGGATATTTTTTAAGCAGTAAATATTTCGTTGTGGTGTTTGATTGATTGTGAAATGAAATATTTGTTTCATTTTTTAGAAAAAGCCTCGTTTGAAAAAAATAAAAGTGCTCGATTCTGATGAAGAAGAGGAAGATCAGTTGGCTGGAAATGCTGCCGTGAAAGAGCGAGAAGCGATTGCAAACCAGCTGTTTGAGGGTGGTGATGATGGTGGGGAGGTACTTATGCTTGGAGACATCTGTTTCTAGTTTATTTGATTTTAATTGTATTTGGGTACTATTCAATTTTAATGATAGTTTATGATATTACTGATGCAAAGAGCTCTCCCAACTGAAAAAAGAGGTCTTTTTGTTGGTATTGATGTTAAAACAGGTTTAACCACAGGCATGTGTTTTCCCACCTGTTTTGATTCATCTTGTGTTAAAATGGTACCCCTTAGCAGATGGATTTCATGTTACTATGTACCTGTTCGGCAATAGATCACAGATGATGTATAAATGTAGTAAGGGCGTAAAAGTGATGCAAAAGGCCCAGCTGAGTTTGTCAGTACCCTTACTTACCACTTGGTTATGGAGCTAGGATTAGCTGAGGCAGGCAGACCAGTGGGCTGTTCAGCCTTAACCTAAGATGCCTCTTTATTTAAGGGAGAATGCTCATAGGCCACTCTGTATTTTTATTACAATGGGAAGTAATGTTGCAATATGATTGGCCAATTTGTTGTTGTCAATAAGAGTACAGACAATGCTGTGTCAGGTGATGCCTTTGTCAGCTGTCAAACACAGATGACTTGGAAATTTTGACATCGATATTGTGGTAAAAAAGCAAATCAACAGTGGTTTAGCATGGTCTGCCCTCTTATTAACAACCATATTTGACATCACTATGGTCAAAAATTTGTTGCAGAGTAATGATGAATATCGTCATTGATAAGAATACAGACCATGCTGAACTACTGTTGATTTGTTTAAATATAATATTGTGAGGATTATTGAGTCTACTTTTGGGTTTGTTCCCATGATAAATTATCTTGCTACACTCCTCTTTGTAGGTTGCAGCAGAACCAGCTGAGGCTCCAGGAGATGACACATATGCCGACATTGATGAATCTGAATCAGAAGAAGGTAATATTTAAGGCTTGTATTAGCTTTGCTTGACTTTGCAATAAGATTGGTGTGGAAATTAAGATTGTGTGGTATTATAATGCTTTCATTAAGAAACAGAGTACAGTGTACCTTACTGGAGAATAGTTTAACCATTTACACCCTGATATCAGTATCTATATTCTCTGTACTCTCCTCTATACACTTCTTTTGGTACTGAAAAGGAGAAATCATTTAGTAATCAAAGCTTCTTGGGTTGGTGATTGTTCTCTGTCTTCTCATAATGTGGATAGATGATATAACAGTAGTATTATGAGGAGAACTTAGATGGTGATCACTCTTAGGGTTTAAAGGGTTAAAGGAACAGAAGATTACCCTCTATATCTGAATTAAAATTAGCTCAGGCTGTCAAAGTGTAGTTGGAGAATTCTCCCACCAACGAATGCCTTGTATCGACATGTTTGTCAGTGATCAGTGTTGAAAAGGAGTTTGAGTGGCTCTCAGAGGAACAGAGACAATGAGCTAGTGAATGTGGATTGACTTTTATACAAAGGGGTAACCATGACAAAAAGGGTCACCTTACTTTGACAGCTGTTTCACTGATCACCTGTGGTAGAACACAAGACCTTTTAGGAGCCAAGAGGCAGGTCAGAAAAGACAAATGGAGGTGGGGGGGGGGGTAGAGGAATTGACATGGCACTGACCCAAATGCATGTACCCAAGGTGGTCTTTAACTGAAAAACAAAAAGCTAACTTAGACAATAGACAGTCACCCTGAACATTGTTGTATGTTGCATGAGTTGTATTTGTAAGCAGAACAATATTTTCAAATCATAACAACAGATTTATGGTTCCACAAGGACCCATTATTTATCTTGTTAAAATATTGTTAACAAAACCCATTGTTTTATTTCAAATCTTAGATGTGGATGATTTTATTGTGGATGATGAAGGGAATCCTATTAACAGGCATACTAAGAAAAAGAGAAGAATTCCTGGAACATTACAAGATTCGTAAGTATTTTGAAAATATTGATGTATCCAAGTGCTACCATCTGATTTAAAGGTATTCACTGTTGGCCAAAATTATTTTGTCAGCAGTTAGGGGTGAGAAAGTTTTGAAAAATATATTTATATGCATTTTTTTAGATGTGATAATGCAAGATCATGAGCAACAGAGAAACTAAATATCAAGATTACACAAGATAAACTGATTATTAATAATTTCCATTTCTATTGCTATCACTCTGAGCTCATTGATGTTATTAAATCTTTTTTTTTTCTTTTACAGTGCTTTGATGGAGGCACAAGATATTTTTGGTCTTGACTTTGACTTTGATGAATTTGAGAAATACGGAAGGGATGACTTCTCGTCTGAAGAAGAAGAAGAAGATTATGAAGATGACACTGAGGATGGTGCACCAAGAAGGCCAAAAAAGAAATCAACAAAGAAGTCTATTTATGAGGTGAGCGACTCAATTGCTCGGCTAGGTTGTGTTTGGAAAAACTGAAGTACATGTACATGGTTTGGACCCAAGAGTAACATTTGATTGTGCAGTCTTACTGTGTTGGAAGAGTTGTCCTCATTAGGTCTGTTGTTGGTAATAATAAATGATGTTTGGACATCTTAAAGGGAAGTTATCATCGGAGATCAATTTTTTTTTTTTTTTTTTTTTTTTTAGTTCTTCTCAGGTCCTGAGGTTTTCAGCATTTGTCAGCACTCTGGTGCATGGCTAATGTTCAAAATGTCAGCTTTAGAAACCCTTTACAGTGGTAGATTTGCATTAGTAACTCAGTAAGTAAAACCCAATTCTTTAAAAAACTAAGGGATGAAAAAAATGTTGATGTCTTTTTTTGTAGGTGTTTGAACCTAGTGAGCTTGAAAAAGGAATGTTGACCAACAAAGACAATGAAATCAGAACTGCAGATGTGCCTGAAAGATTTCAGGTAAAATAACGGAAAGGAAGGATGTATTTGGATAACTCTTTTTTTGACATGTGTTTTCATTTTGTTGAGTGTGATGGTCACTAACTTTTTGTGGGTCCCTTTCTGCTCAGGTACGTGATTTTGCTGTGAAGTCGACAGAGGATGGGGAGCTGGATGATGAAGCAGATTGGATTTATAAACATGCTTTCCTGGATCTGCCTATATCTCAGCAACAGGTTTGAATTTGGAACTGTAATTTCAGGAAACCTCTAGATTTTGTGATAAACCCTCAGTCTCTAAATTGCAAAGAAGGTAACTACAAACACTATCCTAAAAATGCAAAGAGTGCTGAACATTGACTTTTTTTTTAAAACCCTTTAACTCCCAGATCTAATTTTTAATTCTCCTTACTCTCAACCATATAATTCTTATAATGTTAGTTCAGAGAATTTAGAATTGGATCAACTAATTATCTCCAAATTGATATTTTTCTTTACTCTCATCACTTATCTAGTTGATATTGTATTGATATTGTAAGGAGAAATTCTTTCTTGGTCACTCATGGGAGTTAAAGGATGAAGAACATGCATCATAAATGCTCCTGAGAAATGTGGAGGAGAAGATCAAGAAAAAGGGGAAATATTATATTAGGAGAACGTTTCAACTCTTTTAATATTGGTTTTTTACTTTGGGTAAATACAGTAATGTCAAGTAAAGCATGATCACTATATCTTTTAGGATCCTCTGGATGGTGATGCCCACTCTCATGCTAAAACCCCTAAACCGTACAGTGCTGTTGCTAAGATTAGAGAGGCATTAAACCTGATGAGGAACCATCTATATGAGGTAACTGGTTTTATGACAAATTTTGAGTTTTCTCATCACCTGTTTGTTGGAGAATGTGGGGATATTGTAGAGAGAAGTTATGCATTAATCACTTCTGTTGATTGTTGTTTTAGGTTCCATTCATAGCAAGCTACAGAAAAGAATACATTGAGCCTGAACTGAACATCGAAGACCTGTGGAAGATTTGGGAATATGATGAAAAGGTATTTACATTTGGACATGGGGAACAAGTCTCTGGGTTAAATTTCACCATGAGTATTACTTCCAAGAAAGTTCCACAAGCCATTGATACCAGTTAAAAATTTTGTGACTTTTTTCGAAACAAATTTTTTTCACAGCAACAATGATTTTCCAAAAACTACTCAACAGTGTATGCAACACTGTTGCTACTGCAACTCAGTTAACCCGTCACACCCTAACATCAACATGCATATTCTCTAAACTGTTCTCTAGACATTTCCTATCTTGCTGACAAGGAGAATTTCTTTAACAATCAAGAGCTTCTTCAGTTGGTGATCATTTCCTTTATTCTCATGACCTTAATGTGTGATTCAGAGGTGCTATTGTAAGGAGAAATTAGATGCTAGTTACTCACAAGGGTCAAAGGGTTGACAAAAATTGGCTTCTCTACTTTTTCAAAACTACACCTCTGGTTTCCTCTTTTGTCCTTTTTTTTTTCTCCTGTGTGGTACCTAGACACATTTATCTTTAATTGTTATTGATGATCATAATATGATATCATAATTATTCCTACATCTATATTTTGTTGATGTTACTCTGTTTATTGTTAGTGGAGCCAGCTGCGTACTCGCAAGGAAAACCTCCATCGTCTGTTTGAAGAAATGCAGAATTACCAATTCAACAAAATCCAGGAGAGTGGCGATGAACCACTTGATGACGATACAAGGATCTTACAACCCGAAGATGTTGACAGGTACATGTGATAGCATTCTTTTAACCCTTTACACCCCAACATCAGCATGCATATTCTCCATACTGTTCTTTATACATTTCCTTGGAAGTTGATAAGGAGAATTTGTTTGCCAATCAGAAGGTTCCTTCCCTGGTGACTATTTCCGTAATTCTCGTAACCTTAATGTGCAATTCAGGAGAGATATTGTAGGGAGAAATCAGATGTTTGTCACTCTTAGGGGTTTAAAGGGTTAAACAATGGTAATGAAGAAAATGTTAGTGATTTTAAATAATAATAATGGTGACAATAAGGTATTAATAGTAAGGTTAGTGATAATAATAGTAATACAATAGAAACAATTTCCTTTGAATTTTTTTTCATACATACACTTAAATTTTTCACCCTCAATGGGGCTACAAGCCCTACTTTTGTCAGAGACAAAAAAGGACTTGTTGTTCAAAAATTATGTATCATTGCTTTTTTTGTCATATTTTTGGACCATTTTAAACAAATTAAGTAATAATAAAAACTTACAGTTTGCTGTATAATCTTAGAACACTGGTTACCAAATTGGCAACTTTTGCGGCAAATTTAGTCACCAAAATGTTTTCCAGTGGATACACTGACCAAAGTGATTGCAGCTTGAAGTGCTTTTTGGTAGTTTAACCTCTTTCTAACTCAAACCTCCTGAACCTCCTTCTACTCAAACTGCAAAGATCTGAGTGGAAAATTCTCTCCTGTAGTGGCCCATGATTCCTTGTCATTAGCTTAACCCTTAAACTCTCATAAGTGACTAAGATAGAATTTCTCCTAACAATATCAATACAATATCAACCAGATAAGGATGAGAATAAGGAAAAATATCAATTTGGGAATAATTAGTTGATCCAATACTAAATTATCAGAACTAACATTATCAGAATTGTATGGTTGACAGTAAGGAGAATTACAAATTTGATCTGGGAGTTAAAGGGTTAAGAGGTTAGCAGAGAGGGGTTCTCAATTGTTTTTCACCCACAAATTTTGACAAATTCATGGGTGACTTGTACTTTTAATAGTACTTAAGGCATTGCAAATCTAAAGAGGAAAAATTTTAAATCTCATGTAACCTTGCCTTTCTGTAAAATCCACAAATTGCAAATTCATTTTGGGCTTAATCGCACACCAGGTAGAAATCTTTTGCCACCCTCCTTCATGAATGCATGGTAACTTAGGAGTGTTGACATGGATGAGCTTTGTGTTTTGTAGACTTGATGGAGTTGAAACTATGGAACAGCTGAAAGATGTGTACAGCCATTTTATGTTATACTACAAAAATGACATCCCAGCCATGTGGGAGGCTAAGAGGAAAAAGAAAGAATCTGAAGAGGGTAAAGAGGGTGACGGAGAATCGAAAACCACACTACCAAAGAAGAAAATGCCTGCTAAACGCGATCTCTATGCCATATGTAAACAAGCAGGTAAAAGCATGAATAAAAATTATCACTACTGATAAATAAATACCTTGCACTAAGTTTGAAGTCTGTACAGTAAGATATGGTTTTCTTCTCGGATTTACGACCCAAGCGCAAAGGGTGCAAGCCACAAATCCAAGCAAGAAAATTGCTAAAAATCAATTACAAAAGAAGCTCTTGACTGTTTGAGAAAATTTTCTGTCAGAACCCATAGAAATGTACAGAGAACAGTATGGAGCATATGCATGTTGATGTTAGGGTGTAAAGAGTTAAGAGTTCTTATACTGGCGGTGGCAAACAAAATGGTCACTGCTTGTTGGTGCAGACAATATTGTTGTCTTCATGTTTTCATTGTATTTCATTGATTATTAGCTACATTGTGTTGTTTATTTTGTGAAATGAACCTTCAGTCTATCTCCTTCAATGTTACACGTCTTTGATTTTTCAAGGTGTTAGTGGTTTGGCAAGGAAATTTGGTTTGACACCAGATCAGTTGGGAGAGAACTTGCGAGACAACTACCAGCGCCATGAGACAGAACAGCATCCTGTTGAACCAGATGATGCAGCTGAGAATTACCTCAGTAGGTATGTGGAGTGTTGTAATTACAGTGGGGCTTGCAGAGTGTGAAGCGTACGCAGCGTAGCCCCATGCTTACAAAAATTAGTAGTAATGAGACAGTGACAGACCAAGAAGGAAGAAGAAGGAGATACAGATAGAGAAGATTAACTCATTAACTCCTGGAAGTGATGAACATGTAACTTCTCCCTTTAATATCCATACATTATCCAGCAAACAGGTGTTGAGAATACTGAAACTTATCAGGTAGAAGTTGTTGTCTTGATTTTACAGAAAATTCTTGTAACCACATGAACTTTACAAGGAAACATCTAGCAGCTAGAGGGGATAATTAACATTCAGATCTTGGGAGTTAAAACGGTTGGTAGTTTGTTTGAAAGAAAATGAAGACTCAACAGTTCAAGATGTACAAACTATGTCATGACTCTCTGAAAGAATTCTTGTGTAGTTAAAAAATAGGAAAATTATTTCGGGAGAATCCTCTTATACTTGTAACATGTTACATTGAAAAAGTGGACAAATGTCAATTGGTGGGAAAATTTAAAGCTTACTTTCAATTTGTACCATTATTCAAACTTGCTACTTCTCCCGTCACAAGGGCACAGTGTATTTTGATTGTTTTAAAAACCAACACCAACGAAAGTTGTTACAGCAGCCAATCACAAAGGATGAGTTACAGTAACTAACTAACTTAGTTTAAATTAAAGGGAAAATAAGTAAAATTCCTGAAATACAAGAAACACTTGTGGAAAACTCGTGTTTGATTTTAGTTTTGCATGTAACTGGTTAGGTGGGTGGCATACAGTGTAGGTTTTCTAGTTCCGCTGGAGACTGAAATCGACCAAACTAGAGTAATCAGTATTGTTTTTATGTTAAACGGTTATTGAAAATTTCTTTTGGACAGATACATGTCTTGGTTTGCGTAGAGTGCTATGAAATATAGCTTTTTGAATTTTGGTGTCTTTCAGTACATTTTCAACTGTTGATCAAGTCTTAGAGGCTGCTCGGCATATGGTGGCAATGCAAATTGCACGGGATCCTCTTGTTCGGCAATGTGTAAGGCAGACATTCTATGAAAGAGCCAAACTCAAGATCAGGCCCACCAAGAAAGGAAAGAAGGTGGTGAAATTTTTGTCATATTTTGATGATTTTGAAGTTAAAGGCCCTTGTTAAAGAATGCAGACAAACGAAATAATCCTTTCAATGTTTGATATTGTTGCCTTCACTTTTTTCTTGCAGGAGATTGACGAGTCTCATCTCTGCAGCACATTCAAATACATAAAAAACAAGCCGGTCAAGGAGCTGAAAGGAGATCAGTTTCTCCGAATGTGTAAAGCTGAGGAGGATGGACTTCTTACAATAAACATTGAAATCGACCTGGACAAAAACGCAGGGTACCCAACAAATTATTTTGATTGACGAAGTGGTTTTCTGTATTTAAGTTTTTCTAAGTCCTCATGTTTTTTTATTGTTTTTTTTTTCGTAACTTCAGATACCAAACCTATTTTGATGAAGTGAAACAGTTGTATTACAGGGTGAGTTTGTTCGTTTGTTTGTTTTTTATTTGGAACACTTGAACGCTCCCCCTTGAGGAATCTGAGTTCTTCATGGGGACTCGGAAATTTTTTTTGCCCTATCAAGAAACATATCCCTTTAAGAGACTTATCATTTAACTGTTTTTAATTCCCAACTAAAATTGCGCATAATTGTCACAATACATCCTGCATTATTTGAGAATTGCATCAACCGCATAAGACGCAAGTTAAAGATGAAAACAACACGAATAAAACCAATTGAGTGCCCTTTTGTGACCAAAATAAAAAGAGAGCGAGAATTAGTTCTCATTTTACCCTCTCACTCCCAAGATCTCATTAGTAATTCTCCTTACTGTCTGCCATACAATTCGTATTATGTTAGTTCAGAGAGTTTGGTATTAGATCAACTGACAAAAGGAAGGGAGCAAGTTAAAGTTTTGATTGTTTGTTCTAACCATATTATTGCTGCGTGATCCGTCAGTATCTTGTCCTGCATGACAGTGTCTTGCTGGCTCATGTTTTGTTGCGTTCTTGCCCGAATATGGTGAACTGGCTTTATGGTGAAACAACACGTTTAGTTGACTTTGGATGAGCTGTCTTGTGTAAGCCACTTCTAATTGGAACGTAGTCAAGGCAACCACTGTGAAAATATCTTTCCATCTTTTTTTTTTGTAGGATGAATTTAGCCATCTAGTGCAGGAGTGGAACACACAGAGAACAAATGCGTTGTCACGAGCCTTTAATCAGATGCTATATCCACTCTTTGAAAAAGAACTCAAACTCAAGCTCCTTCAGGAAGCCAAGAATTTTGTTATCAAGGTCAGATCACTGTCGGGTGAAAGGCTTACTGCTGGAGCGATAATTTGACTTGCCGCTGACACATGTTACATTTCTTTTTGACATTGTTAATGGCCCTCCGCCTTTGCAAGCTTTAAGGCAAGAATTGGGAGGGGGAAGGGGGAGGGGAAGAGAGGGGGGGTGGGGCTGGGATGGGAGTTTTACACAAGGATCCTACCGGTATTTGAGGAAAAGTCAATCTTTTGTAATTACATCCGTAAATCACTTTCTGGAGACGGAGGTGAAGGATTGCACCATTTAACCTCTTTTGCAATCAAGCATAGAGAGAGCGATGTACGCGATGAGATGTGCATCACCACAGCTCTTTTAGGAATCTTCGCTGTAACTGTACATGTGTATATCCAAAGCAAGCTAAGAAAACCAAGCGAAAGGATGCGGCAGTGCCCCTGCAACTTACCTTGGGTCCCCCGCTTCTTATCGGTGAAACTGCTGCGTAGACTGGGTATTAATCTCCCCTAAATTGCATCTAGCGTTATTTTAACTTACTTTGTTTTGCTGTAAACTGCGTTTAGTCTTATGTGTATCATGCTACGTCCACAGTCATGCTGCCGGCGGCTGAGGTCATGGATTGAAGTTGCTCCATACCAACCCGAGCAGCATATAGACGAAAGGGATTATGATGACAGCTCTAATACCGAAGGTCTCCGGGTGCTAGCGTGTTCCTTCTCCAACAGTCCAGATACACCGGCCTTCTTGGCCATGCTGGACGGAGGCGGCCAGGTCAATGATTACCTCAGACTGAAGTACCTGCTGAACAGACGGAATACAAACAGACCTAAAGAACGAGAAGACAAGGTTAGTGGCATTTTATGTAGTTCTTAACCCTCAAAATCCCAGATCAAATTTGTAATTCTCCTTACTGACAACCATACAATTCGTATAATGTTAGTTCAAAGAATTTATTATTGGACCAACTAATTATCCCGAAATTGATTTTTTCTTTATTCTCATCACTTATCTGGTTGATATTGTATTGATATTGTGGGGAGAAATTCTGTCTTGGTCACTGATGGGAGTTAAAGGGTTGAAGCATTATAATCCTTTATTTTATGCTTTCTTCTACAATTTTACGCATCTCTAGAAACTAAACTAAAAACTTTTCAAGTTCTTCACTTTTAGTCCCTGTATACTTTTTGAAATCACTGGTAATCCTTGCAATCCAATTTGCCCGTAGCAAAGCGATTTATTCTCGAGCCGCGCCTTTTTTTTAGCCCTGAATTGCACCCTCTTCTCGGCAATCGCTGATTAAGATTGTATCACTGAAGCAAAACAGCAAATAAGATTTTAAACACTTGTTTTAAGTAATCACTAAAATTAGAGGGAAAAGAAAGACAAAAAGCCTCTGTAATGTGAATTTGTAACTTGAACACAACAAGCGAAGTATTAATGGCAGCCAAATTCATCTAAGTAGCTGGCTTTTTTACCCTCATTATTTGGTTGTGTCGATGAATTCCTGCTTCTTAGCATTAAATGTCCTCTCTTTTTATCCTTATAGTGTTTCTCCTTGGTTTGAATGGTGTGGCTGTCTTACCTGATTCCTTTTTTATCTCAACAGGAAAAGGATATGCAAAGATTAAAGCAGTTTATCCTCAAGAAGCGGCCTCAGGTTGTAGTTGTTGCTGCAGAATTTCGCGCGACTGTATCGGTGATAGATGATATCAAAATGTGCATAGCAGAGCTGGAGCAGGAGAACCAAATACCGACCATCTCTGTTGAAGCTCTGGATGGTGAAGTGGCCCGCGTGTTTATGTCTTCGCCTCGAGCGGAGGTATGTGTGACGGAAATAAAAAGTGAAATAACTCACACTGAACACATCAGCCAATCAAAAGAAAAGAATATGGGAATATTATCTTTATATTATATTGTATTTTCGCCTTTACCCGCAGCCTCTATCTCCAAATCAAACATGGCCGGTTAAATAAACGATCGCGAGCTTCTCAACGTGAACTCTACCTAATAAGACGCCCGCACTACTGGCTAGGTTGTTTCAGTATGATTTCTTGGTTTTTTTTCTTGACCGGGGGAGGGGGTGTGCGCATATACACCACATTACCTCCCTTAGATAAGTCCTTGGTCTTACCTCTCGTGTTCTTATTGATGTTACTGTTGTTTCAGAATGAGTTCCGCGAGTACCCAGCCCTCCTGCGTCACGCAGTGTCTCTCGGGCGCAGGATTCAGGACCCGTTGACAGAGTTTGCTGCGTTGTGTGTGGAGGAAGATGAACTGCTCTGTTTACGGCTGCATCCGTACCAGGTAAAGTTGTCATTTTGCAACCATAGTATAATAATATAAATAATATGGTGATGGTGATCAGTAAGGCAAATTTCAACAAGGTAATTTGGTATTATCAACTGAGTTGATAACGTAAATTGGCCACCGGGTTTCCGACCACCGTTAAGAGTTTCAAAGCTGACTTTTCGAGCGTTAGCCTTTCGTCAGAGTTAAGGGCTAACACTTGTCAGAGCAAAGGGCTAACGCTTGAAACGTTAGCTTCAAGACTTTTAACGGTGGTCAATTTACGTTTTTCTTTAACTCAGTTGATGATACCGAATGACCTTGTTAAAACTCTCCCACCGACGCAGCACCACAGCTTCTTAAGGAAACTAACCCCCTTTATTCATCAGCCAAATTTCGTTACGTTTCAGGACCAAGTACCGAAAGAGCAGCTTGTAAAGAGTCTTCATCAGGAATTCGTGACGGTTGTAAATGAAGTAGGGGTTGACCCCAATCGCTTGTTGGAGCATCCCCATACAGTGTCGCTGCTACAGTTTGTGTGTGGACTGGGACCTAGGAAAGCGTCTTCCTTACTAAAGGTAATTTTAACAATCGGTAAGAGATTTTAGCGCAGAAAATGCAATAAATTCTCTTACCTGGTGAACGTCTTACTCATTTTACTTGTGAGAAGTCAGAGTGAAGTGCTAAGTCTCCTGAGGAAATTCCCAAAAGAAGTTTTTTCTGAGCCACAGTTTGCGACATGGAAAACTTACTTCGATTTGAAAGAGAGTTCACAATATTAGTTTTGTAAGATAGAAAAACACAAAAGATGCAATGATAAACAAAGAGGGAACAAGGATGGCGAACGATTGGATAGATTAAAACGGATCACGTTGCTCCTGTTATAATGGAAGAACAATGGCAATAAAATTATATAACTTACTTTTTCAGAGTCTACGTCAGCAGTGCACCCGACTCGAGAACCGCTCTCAGCTTGTGACCGTGTGTGGCCTGGCTCCTCAGGTGTTTCTCAACTGCGCAGGTTTTATTAAGATTGATACTGCGGCCATTAGCGACACAACCACGAACTATATTGAGGTTCTCGACGGTTCACGAGTTCATCCGGAAACTTACGAGTGGGCCAAGAAAATGGCCGTCGACGCACTCGAGTACGACGAGGCAACGATGGAATCGAACCCGTCGTCGGCCTTAGAAGAGATTCTGGAAGCCCCTGACAGATTAAAAGACCTGGATTTGGATGCGTTCGCGGAAGAACTGGAACGGCAAGGTTACGGAAACAAGCGCATTACACTGTACGACATCAGAGACGAGCTATTCGGACAGTACCGTGAGCGTCGCTCTCCTTACCGATCTCTGACGGTGGAGGAAAGCTTCCGACTGATGACGGGTGAGACCAGCGAGTCTTTGTACGTCGGCAAGATGGTGGTGTGCACCGTAACTGGTTTTGCGAATAGGAAACCTCCCCGTGATATGATCGATCAGGCCCAGCCTGTTAGAAATGATGAGACTGGTCAGTGGCAGTGCCCGTTCTGTTTGCAAGATGCGTTCCCTGATCTCAGCGAGGTGAGGGTGCAGCGTTAGTTATCTGAGCATGGTCGTTCATGGTAGTGAAAGGGTAGATTGAAAGCAGAACTACAAAGAGGAGTCAACTAAAGTGATAATTTGGAAACATCTTAACAGTGAATTTCTACGCAAATTCAGTACCGCTATTCTTTTAGGTTTGGACCCACCTTGATAATGGCAGTTGTGCCGGGCAGGCCATTGGTGTTCGCACCAGACTGGAAAATGGCTTATCTGGATTCCTTCCTACCAAGATGATAAGTGATAAGACCATTAGCAGTCCTCACGACAGAGTCAAGGTAATGCCCACTTTTCCTACTTAACTGTTTTTCGATTGTTTATAGCTCTGTTGCTCAAAGCAAAGCGCTTAAAATAACAAGAAAAGATCAAGGCCCAGTTGTATGAAGGGCGAATAACGCTATCCAACGGATAAATCGCTATCCAGTGGATAGGTAATAGCAAAATGTACAGCATTGTCCACCGGATAGAGATTTATTTAGTAAATAGCGTTATCCGACCTTCGAACAACTGGGGTCAGTTCCATACCAATTCCAGATGATTTTATGTGCGTACCGTTAGGTTGGGATGACCCTCCACTGTCGTGTGACTCGTGTCAACATGGAGAGATTTCAATTGGACCTCACGTGTCGCTCGTCAGATCTCGCAGATAAAGAAGGAAAGTTCAGGTCAGTGAAAGCCCTGACAATCACTTATATTCTTGCCAAGGCTGTGCCCAAGCCTGCCCATGAGGCAGCTTTAACAAAGACCTGCAAAAGACATAGACTTCGTACCTCATTGTATGAATAGATCGAATATAACTGATGCTCTTGTCTAAACATTGATTAAATTCGCGCGGGCGAATCTCTGTATTCTTTCTTTGCCTGTTCCAAGTCCAAATCATGGTTGTTTGATCTGCTCTTGCAGTCTTCCTAAAGATTTGTATTACGATCAAGACACAGCAGATAAAGATAGGAAGGACGAGGAAGCGGCCAAAAAGAAAGCAAACAGGCCAAGTGAGTTCTGTTCAGGCTCTCTAATCGCCCATATAGATGTACATACACAATCAACGAAACCCTCTTTAAAATATCGACCGAAATGCCCTGCGTAATGTATGTTTGGAAAACTGTGTCGAGCATACGAGGTCAAGGCTTGCTTTAAACTTCCCTCAAGAAAAAAAGCTGAAAAGCGTCTGCGCATGTTACAAATGTTCGAGTAAAATAGTGGAATTTTGAGAAATTGGAAGGCCGGCGTGGTGTTGTGCCCAGGTGAAGGTGGAGGTAGAAAGCTTAGGCTTATAACTTTTGTTACAGACCGTCTTTTAACAGGTGCACAAGATACTTTTTTGTGCATCATAGCTTCATTCTTGAACACTTACCAACATTTAGCCCAAAACTATTGTGTAGCAAGGTTAGGAAATGGAATTATGGACTCTAGATACAAACACTAAAGAAGTCGGCAAAAGAAGGTCAACTTTTGTAGTTGTCTAGTCAGTGAGGGTGGATTTTTCTCTTGTGTTAAATTTCAGAATACGTCAAACGTGTGATTGTACATCCAGCATTTAAAAACATCTCATTCAAGGAAGCTGAGAGGCTGTTAGCCGATATGGATCAAGGGGAGTGTATTGTGAGACCCAGCAGTAAGGTGAGTGACCCAGCAGTTATGTGTATGAGGGCCTCTTCACCCTTTACATGGAGGTGGGAAACCCTTGGTTGGTGAGGCAATCCGCCTTGCCGAGGTCAAAAAATAATCTGCGTTTACATACAATCTTACGACCTCGGGATTCCGGGGTGAGGTTTTTCGCACGCTTGCACATAGGCGGGTTACTCCACCTGGAGACGTTTACATGGCAAATTGCGACCCCGGCTGACGGATTACCCTACCTGGCAGACTAAGCAACCTGCCTAGTTGGTTTACCCCAACAATTACGTAAACGTGATCAAGATAAAATAAGAGATTAAAAGGACAGGCGGGTTTTCCTACTTACATGGGGTCCTTTATCCCCATGTAAACAGGCCCTAACTGTCATAGATACCCTAGCGAATAAGTGTCTTTAAACCAAACCTCCAGTAATAGAACGGCCGACATGAACAAAGAATCAACAAAACACAACCAAAAAAAGCAGGATTAGCCAATGAGAACTCGTAGTAAACATGTGTCGCCGGCTTCAAGCGCGGGAATAATCCGGTGACTATGTCGGGATTTAGTTTAGTTTAACATCTCATTGGTCGAGAAGGTGGCAGAAGTTTTCAAATGCCAATTACAAAGGGAAGTATAGCAAAACTAATTAGTAAAACTCATACAGTCCCAGTGTACTTTGGACATTTAATGGAAAATTTCTCACAACCCCAAGTCGAGAAAACAACACCCATTAAATGAGGGGAGACATTTAAAGAAAAACGAAGAATTCTGTTTGGTATTTGCGGTGATCAGATGAGTTTAGTTCAATACGCGAATATGGTGAGCGAGGATATTACTTGATTTTGTGTATTGTTTTACCTAAAGCAAAACTTGAAAGTTTGAGATAGACAAAAATGTACGAGAGTTGACAAAAACGCACGTTGTCCCATGTGAATTTAGTTAAAAGTGTTCTACTGGCTTCCCTCAGGGCGCTGATCACTTGACTGTCACGTGGAAGGTCGACGAAGGAGTTTACCAGCATGTTGATGTGCGCGAGGAAGGAAAAGAAAACGCGTTCAGTCTTGGCCGTTCACTGTGGATTGACAGCGAGGTATGTATGCGAAGACGTCAACTTGCTCGACATTCCTGATTTGAACAAATACAGATAAAATTTCAGGGTGTGTTTGGCATATGAAGATGAATTAAATTGTGCTTTTGTTTATATTGTTTGGATGTGTTTTGACTTAAATCAAACATATTTGGTCATGAGGCGTAAAGAGGAATTGAAAGTTGTTGTTTCAAAGCTTTTCAGAATTCACCATAATTTTGCATGATATTTTAAGGAGTAAGCTTTCCACTTTGCATGAGTTCCTTTATGTAGAATGTGCTGTGGGTTAAACGCAGTGTTAACTTCGGTAGATTCTTTCAAAAATTTAGTAGCCGAGGACCTTTTCTAAGAAACCATTAATCTGTTCAAAACTTGGTTGGTGGAATCTGTTAGCGAGCAGGCTTTTATTAGTCGCGCTGCAGGACACGCGTGTCTTCGCCCGCGAATGAGTTTGAGGCCTTAAGGAATCCTACCTAGTGAAACGTTTGCAAGTCGTGTGGCACTGATATTAGTAGCAGACCCCTGGCAAAGCTTTCCCCGAGTCGTCTCAAATCTTCCCGTGGGCTGATAACGCTCCTGGTGCAGTGCTAGTAATGCCGGCCAGCTCGTAGACTAAATCCAACAAAAGTAAGTGAATATTCTTGACGTGATAGGAATTTGAAGATCTGGACGAGATCATTGCACGGCATGTTCAGCCGATGGCTTCATTTGCGCGAGAGATTCTTAACCACAAGAACTACAGAGCGGTGGACGGAGTAAAGTCAAAATTGGAAGAAATTCTGCAAGTGGAGAAACGGAAGGCTCCACAAAGGATCCCCTACCTTATGAGTACAACTAAGGAGTTCCCTGGGAAGTTCTTCTTGGGGTATCTTCCTCGGGTTAAGCCACGGATAGAGTATATCAGTGTCACCCCCGACGGTTTCAGGTACCGAGGAAGAGTTCACGCCACGTTGAATGGCTTGTTTAGATGGTTCAAAGAGCACTTCAGGGACCCCATACCTGGTAGGTACCCGCTTGCCGGTCATTCTATCTGTCTGTCTGTCTGCCTGTCCATCTGCCTCTGTCTTTCCGTCTGTCTGGCTGTCTATCAATCTGTCTTTCCATCCGTCTATCTGGTTTTCCGTATGTCTGTCTGTCTATCTATCCGTCCGTCTGTAGCTGTCTGTCCCGCTTGTCTGTCTTTCTGTCTCATGTCTGCCTGCCTGCTTGTCTCTCTTCTTGTATTTCGAACCGAAATAAAGATAACTCAGACTAAAAGCGACCAAACTGTGTGTGGCGCGGGAAAACGTAGCAACCAAGTTGTGAGTGGAATTTGTTAAGGAAGTTACGATGAGGAATCTTTTTAGGTCAATTTAATTGCCAAGTAGAGCAAAGCAAAGCAAAGCAATCCTTGAGTACTTTCGACAATTGATCCAAAATTGCCTTGTTATGTCCTGTCGCCCTTGAGGTTATATCATGCTTGTGTGTATAAGCAGTTAATTCTTTGTTGCAGGTACTCCCCGGCACAGAATGCCAGTCACCATGTCCGAAGGCAATACCCCTTATACCCCAGGAGGTACTCCCTCCATTAATTCTGATGTGGATCCCGCTCGACTGTTACCTCAGCTCCAGCAACACTTCCCCAGGGGAATCAACGACCCTAAGGTTTACTCTGCGCTGGCGGCTGTCGCCAGGCAACAACAAGACTCTCAGAAAAAGACCCCCACACAGCTCACGCCTGCGCAGTGGGGTGCAGCCGCAGCCCAGCATATACAGCGTCAGAAGAAACAACGGTCATCGCAGCATCAGTCAACGCCGACACAGCAAACCCCCACACAACAAACGCCAACTCAACAGGGATACCAACAATTTCCGCAATACGGCTACTATCAACAGCATCAAGATCAAACTCAAGCCCAGACTCCCACCACTTACGGATACCAGCAGACATATTCCGGGAGCAAGTCGGCTGGGAAGGAAAGTAGTAAGAGTCGATAGCCTAACGTCGGCAGCCACCCATTCCCCCTGTATACTCGGATTCAAGTCTTTATTAAGTCAGTTCTCCTCTGTTATTTAAAACATGTTATCTCTGTGCAAAGAAAACTTTAACTAAATCTTTGTTTAGTTTTGCGAGCGTAATTTGTGTTAGTAAGCGATGGCATGAAATTTATGTTTGGTGTTATAATTATTCGTGAGTTTTTTTTTCTTCTTGTTTTTGCTGATGTTCGCTTAATGTTATGCTCTAATTAACAATGACAGATTATTGGCTATAGAAACATTTAAACGGCGACATTGTTTCGAAACTAAATGGAGAAGTAGCTGCGTTACTAATTTCTTGCATGATATGGATGAAGCCGGACGAGTGATTCTCGTCTCGTTCTGTTGGTAACTTGTAATGTTGAAATTTACTGTGAAAAAAAAAAGCAACGGCAGGGGAATACTACCGATGCTGTAACTGTGGTACAAGTTTATACCACATCGGACGTTTGACCAAATTGAAATAAATCATTATCTGTTATTTAGGGTTACATAACTGATGAATAATGCACGGCACTACGTATTTTATGTAACTTTCTCTGTAGTGTTTTTGTCTCGTGTTTCCGTTCGTTTTTTGTTTACTTGCTTTTTCGTTTTAGAAAAGCCCCTTATACGGCTTTAGTACAGTTAAGCTCTTTGTTTGTCGGCGTTCATCGGGTGTGGTTCGCCACGAATTATGGACGCTGGTTTTGTCACTTGTGTGTTGTTATTACAGAGTCTATGTCAGGTATTTTTGTAACATATTACAGAGTGTATTGCCACTTTAAAACATAGGGTGATTTTGTGAAGATAAAAGCATTCTGTGTAAGGAAAAATAAAACAAATTTAGGAATATCGTGCATAGTTTTCTTTCTTACGGGGTGAGTGGAATCGAGAATTCGATTGTTGTTCCTAAGATGGCCTCGTTGACTCGACCATTCTCTTGTTTCAACAAGATTACTGTTTAACCCTTTGATCTTCAGTCGTAGCTTTTCCATAAGGATTCTCTGATTTTTTTTTTTTTTTTGCCTTTTGTTCAAAAAAAGTGATTTCGCTCCATAAACGTACGTCATTCTCATATGAAATCCTGATTCGTTTGTTTGTGATTTCCTGGTAAACAATGTCGGATTCACTTTAATTTCTTCACCTATCGGTATTTTGTGCGCTTTTATTCCAAGAAACCTATTAAATTATCAATGAAATGTAAAGCCTGGTCTTGAATGTCAGCTTTGTTTCTTTTCATCAGATGTTTTGTAATCGACACAGAGCATTGAAACTGTGGCCTGCAGGGTATCTGGTAAACTGTTTCTCAGACAGTGCAGGTCTATCACGGCCACTCTCTCTCTCCCTTTCCCGTTGAGTTAGAGAGACAGAGAGTGGCTGCAATCGACCTGAGGTGTCTGAAAATGAGGTTAGGTTCTGGAATTATCGACCCATCGTAAACTCTTTCCTTGCCAGTTGGCCTTTACCCTGACGGGTTCACCCCATCAATTACACCTTTTCCTTCACCACGTGTACCTAGTAGTCATAGTAAAGAGGAAACCCCTTTTTATGATAAATCGTTGCGATTGAAATTCTAATTTTAGAGGCGTTCACAGATTTTGGGAGAAAGCTGTCGTGCAACAACGTTCTGCTTATCTATGGGGAAATCTGTTACAAGTGGTTAGCAAACTTTCAAGCGACCCGTGCGAGTAAACTATTACTTGCTTGTAAAGCATAAAAAAACGGGATTATTTCAACAATAGTCAGCCAGCGCTGGCCTTTCTTTTTGAGAAATTCTTGGCGGTTTACAATCTTCCAATAAACACTAAGAAAGTCGATTAATTAACTAAGCTCACGAATTAGAAGAAATGCAGACACGGTGTCTGCATTTGCCCTAAATCTGCGAATGTCTTTCTCTTCGAGAGATAATCATTTGCATCAGAATTGTTTTCTTGTAACTGGAAACTTACATGTAAGTTGTCTGCTCTTAAGCTCTCAAACTGCACCGTAAAAGGTTTCATACTTTTTTTTATATTTTTATATTTTTTTGCAACACGAAAAACACTACTTGCAAAGCTAAACAGACACCACTTACAATACCACTTACAATACGTTACTTATACTACTTACTACACAATACCTCATTAGACTACAATTCTTACACTACTTTTTACAACCGGTTTGTTTTTCGGTTACACACCTATGTACCTAGCAAATTGCAATTCAAAATGGGCGTCTACTTAGCCTCTAGCATCTTCATATTATTATATTTAGCAGCAATGTGACGTTCAGTTCCATATTTTCTTTTAACTAGTTCCTTGTAGGAAGAGAAAGAAGGAAGGCTATTATTCCTATGGCAGTTCCATAAATGTAGCTCACCTAAAACGATTAAGTAGTTATTCAGAGGACATTTAGTATCCGTGACACCAACTAGAATAGTCTTTAACTCGAGTTTCCTTTGTTCTTTGGCTATGGCGATCCACTAATAAGATACAAATTTTTCCCAAAATGGACGTGAGTAAACACGGTAAAATAGTAAATGATCAGTTGCTTTCGCACCAGTATTGCAAAAGGTGCAAAGATCGCTTTGTATTAAACCTATCTTAGCTAAGCGGAGATTTGTGAATAAAATGTCATTCAGTATTTTCAACCGTAAACATTGCATATATGTTTCACAAATACAGAACCTTATTAATGAGAAGGCCTTTTTTGTTTCCACCTCAACCACAGAAAATTTTGATTTCAACTTTATGAAGCCTCTGGACTCTGTCGCCTTACTGGATATAAGCAGATCGTAGAAATCCCTAGACTTGCTAAGCGCTGGATCAAAAGTTTTGTGACCGATTTCAAGTTGCAGTGATCTGACATGATCTTTATTAACTTCGCGGCTTCGAATTCTTAGATGACTTGATACAGCGCAACGAACACCAGTCCAGGTCAGAAAGTTGGAATCTTTGAAACCATTTTGTTTGGCAAGGCTAAAGGACTATGTGTTACTCAGACCAAATTTTAAGTCGCTCAAAAGAACAATGTTTGCGCAATTATAATTATTATAAAATCTAGGTTTACCATTTATTCTAATGTTATGACTGTTCGAGATGATTGTTTCACGTGGACTTACAAGGTCAAACCTACAACGAAAATCTGACTACCAATGTAACATCTCCTTATAAAATATTGGGCAAATGTTATATTCACTAATATTATAATCACAGTGAAGAAAAAATTCTCCACCAAAGGTTTTAGCAAATGTAATAGATACGCTTTCCAGGGATAAAAATTATCGCTTAAAAATCTTCATACTTTCATATTTATGTTTAGTGCCACTTCCTTCCTCTTCAGAAATTCTCAATCAATTTTGAAAGAAAATCTTCGTGTAAAATCGACAGCTTTAGTACTATCACAAGTGGTAAGAAAACTTTTAAGTGACCTGTGCGAGAAATATTACTTGCCTGAATAGTATCAACGGATTTTTTCAAGATGGAATTTGCAAAAACATCAATTTACTGCTTAATCACAAATCTGAAATAAATCTGAAATACTGGCTCATCAGCAGTTTGCAGTGCAATCTTGTTAAAACCATTTTTGATAGCATCACGTCACGAAATAGTTTAGCAAGCTGATTGCATACTACAATGCTACGATGACTGAGTCACCGTCTGCCCTAAAAGAGGCCTTGAGCTCACCAGCCCTCCCCGCGTTTCCGCGACCTCTGCAACTTGCAAACCATGCTTCATAAGTTGACTTCAAGCATCAGCAAACGATCTGGAAAACACCTCACACTGGAAAACAAGCGACAGTTCATGTACTTTGGTGGAAACATTTGATATTCTTCGTGTGTATTTTCCAGGTGAATGCCAACTCCAATTTATTTTATAAAACCAATACAAATATAAATATTTTGTCTGTTTCAAAGAGCAGGATAAAATATCTATGTCGTCCGTTAAATGCAGAGCTTTACGTCAAATGCTAAGAAATTGGGTTTTCCCCAGAGTTTGCAGTTTTCTTTGCTGTCAATTTTTTCTTTTTCTCGCAACCCCAGCCCAAATTTAGTAGAATGAAGTTGATGTCAACCAATGTTATGACCTCGACCGCTTTTCTCAGAGTGCTCAAATAAGCTCACAGTTGGCGGTAAATTGAAGACTTCCGCTCAAAATCTCAACAACCATTTTTAGTTTAGGAAATCAATTATTTTAAATCCTTTAAATTTCTATCGTAATACACAGGGTTTCAGTTAAATCTGATGAATATTTCAAACGACTGCTAACTTGAAAGCGTCTCGTGGAGTTAGGTGTTTAAAAGCCAAATTTATGTTAGAATAGTTAATACAAAAAAGACCAAAAGGTCAAATAAATGGAAACATCTGGATCTGAACGCAAGAAGAGAAGGAGCGTACGATATGAGAGTTGCTGGAAAACTTCCCAATTTGATCACGTTTTTCGGGTATGAATTATAACGATGTTCCTTGAATCACAGGCGGCCCAAGCTCCAGCTGTGAGATGATCATTTTCCGAAATAAGAGTCATGGCGAAATTATTAGAGTTTGTATTGGAATATTTACGACCGCTTTTAGGAATAAAAAAATACAGAAGCCCTTCTCTTATGTAATAAACATAGATACGGATAACTCGCAAAAATGGGCTCTTTTCAACATAGTAAGCGGTCAGATAACAAGCGATGCATTGTGGAAGTAGGGTCAGGCATTTTTATTGAGAATTCGACTGTATATTTTTTATTCCTAAGAGAGGTAGATATTCCCATATAAACTTTTATCATTTCATGACTCTTCTTCGCGAGATGATCATCTCACAGCTGGAGCTTAGGCCGCCGAGATTTAATTTGAACAAATGGAACGGTATTGCCAATTCAGAAGGAAAAAAAACCTTGAACTTTGCTTTATATATACAGTTAAGTCTGTGGCATGTTTGAATCTTTTAGCTTACAAGGACCAGCCGGAAAATCTCACACTAAAAGGTTCGCTTAACTATGAATCAAAACGCAATTATTCCTGTGTCTTTGACAGGATCATCTAAAGGCAGTCATAAGTGCTATTTGATAACAAATTTCACCGCGCAATCAATAATACTTCCTTTTTGACAACATTCAGTTGGCTTTCTTTGTGCTTCAGTTTCAGTACTAAAATGACCTTTGTAGTGATCAAAGATTATGAAATAACTTCATTCATTACACAGTTGCGTCCGTAGAATTCAATGGGAAAACCGTCAAGAATCTTATAAATCTTTGCTCATTGCTTTTCAGCCCACTTGAGTTGAACAAA